CCCAACCGCAACGAATGCATTGTAAAGGTGGGGGGTCTGAAGGGGGCGAAAGTGCTCTCGTTTGGAGCTTCCTCCTTTTATCGGAAACGAACGCGGTATCCGAGGGAAATGGATTTTAGCCGAGTGCTACTATAAATTCCATTTGTCCCGGTGAAAACGGTAATATATCATGGCTTCGGTATCTACTCGTCGTCTTACGGCAACTGCGCGTCTGGTTAACCATACGCGATTATGCAAAAGCTTTAAATCCACGTCCCGCAAGTTACAATCCAGCGCGATGCTCGGCAATTATTCAAAGATTGTTACAGCTCGCTTAGACAACCCGTGTTGTAAGAAAAATGGATTTCAACAATAAATGTTCAGGACACTAAACTTTCGTTGTAGTATCATAATTTTTGCGATTTTAACTGGCAAACAATGGATCAGATTTTTTTTGTACAGCTTCCTATTGTTACAAAACCTTTCGATAAGAACGGATTCTGGCGGTGACACGTTTGATGTACGACGGTGAGGCGCTTAGGTATAAAGGGTGATCGGAAAAAATCGTTATTACGTATTCTTTCGCAGGCCGTTAAGTTGCCGGGAATCTTACGGAAAAAAGAAAATGAGTAACGGTGACGGGAAGTAGTTTTGCCAGCGTGAGGGCGTGTAGACGAGAATTGAAAACAGGGCATAAATTCTTAGCTACGTGCCCACCCATCGTGCGGCCCATGGAAGACAGCGGGGATACGATATTTCACGGATCAGAAAGGCCATTCGCGTGATTTACGCCTCCTTAAGTGCACCGCCACGAATTCGTGAGTATAATTCCACCGCCGTTTTAAAATCCCGGAATCACCGGTTTTATCCCATTATTCGGTACAACAGTGTGTCGCGAGAGTCACTAACAAATATCATCCCGGAAAACCGTGATTCGTTTGATTAAAATCCGATTTTACAAAGTCGACGAATATTATAAACGTGGGCATTATCACCCTTTTACTAAAAGGTTGATTGTACAAGTACAAAACGCTTCAAAGTTTAAACCAATGAAGAGAACCGCTTAATGGTCGATGGGATTCTAATCCCACTCCAATCGGATAGTTGCCTGCGTTAGCGAGAACAGTCGATTCTTTCGGGCTGTGGCGAGCTAAGACGAAATAAGGGAAACTTCATCGATCGGAGCCGAAGTCCCATGGGAAATCGGGCAAACGTATAGACCGCGTGCTGTACGTCGCAATCCATTCAAGGAGAGGTAAAAACGAACCTACAGCTTACAGAAGGTAGTTTCGCGTGACTGCGCGAGAGGATTCGATGCGATTGCAATTGAAGCAATAATTTCCCATTAAAAATCGAGTCGCGGTGGTTGCCACAAACCCCATCCCTTATCATAGCCGCGGCGGCGGTGCCAGGCGGACAGCTGCCTTCTGCAGAATAATGGAAAACAAACAAGGGAAATATCGCGCGTATACAGCCTCGGCCATTACTCCCAAACCTTGTTTCCTCCTCAACCCCTTCGCCATCTCTCTGTCTTTCATTTTGCCCGGGCACGATCGAACGGTTTTAAAGTTGGTTTTATGCGTGATGGTCTCGGCCATATCGTAAATTTCGGCAAACCAACCGTCGAGGGATGAAGCGGCACTCGCGCTTGAGTGCATCTCACTAGATAGCAGGATTTTTTATTATCCATCACGCGCCCATTTTTGTTCCACCGAATAAACGTCGTCGTCCGTAATATTAGAAAGATATTCGAAACGCTATTTTAATTACAACTCGACAGGTACGTGCGCTTCATAACGGTAGACAATAACGTCATTTATCAATTAGGAAAACGAATAGAAAGCCGATTAATTAATTAATTGATGTGGTTTAAATAGATGAATACCGGATACATTTCAATTACGCTGTTAAGGATGTGTAGGCTATATACTNTAGGAAATGCGTTTTTCTAATGTACATAAACTTTTGGGATTGACTGTATAGCCAATACATCCTTAATTACGACGAAATTTATTATTCTTATAAATTAGGGACACTGGGAACAGAAACCAATTACGATACCGATTAATTTCTGATATGTCAAGCGATTCATGTGGACAGCAGATATATGGGAAATAGTTATGGCGTTTGGAATATTTCAGGTGAAATTCCTAACGATGACTGAAGACTGATGATGAGAAATTTTGATAATTCCACGGATCAAAGCTCGCCGTGGCAAAGATAATTCATTATTATATAACGTTAATGAACGCGCGCTTCGTGCGCGTCGAAAGTTTGTTAATTCGATCGATTAGAGGTATTCACTGCACCGAGATATTGATCCGCATTAGTAAATACACACGATTTCATCTCCCAAAGGTAGACGGTTGCGTTTCATTTATCTCTTAACCATGAAAATCGGAAGTGTTTAACTCCGATTCGCTTTTAAATTATCTGAACGGTCACACGTTTTATCAGTGACTAATTGGCCAAGTTAATTAATCGCAAATCGTTCGATGAAAAGATTTATTAAAACATTTTCCTTCCTGTTTGAAGTCGAACCGTCGACAAAGTGTATTACGTTTGGTAATTACGTTTTACTAATTACATGAACAGTGGCAAAAATCCGACCAACAGCGGACCTAGTTTCAACTTAATTCCGTCTCGGCCGTGTCAAACTGTCAATTACGGCGGATTGTAATAAAAAATACAATCGGCTTCTCGTATTCGATAATCCTTTTCGTTTTTAATGATCCATGAAGCAGTGGCTTCGATATTTAACGAATCACTGGATGTTCGATTTTTACTTATTCAATATTCGATTCATCTCTTTCATTGAAATAATGGAAAGAATTGTTTCTCTCGTTCATATTATATTAAGCTTTATGTGAAAACGAATTAACGAAAAATCGATATATTAGCTGTGTGCGTCACGGTAATGAATAAATAGCGAGTTTCAAATGGGACGCACGACAATATCTATGCACTTACTGGTAAATTACTTATGGATACTCTGGGCACGTGCCCGGATCAAATAGGATGTCAAAGAGACCGATGTCTGGTCGAAACTATCCTCTTCAGCCGTGGAGCACGTAGAATGTGTCGGAGCCACGACCAATTCAATCAAACCTTCCATGACATGACAATATCTACTTGACTCCGTACAATGTAGTCTCCGGTAACAATTTACCCGCTGCATTTACGAGCTCACCACACTTGTTTTACTACTTAAACGAACAATTCAATGAATCCTGCATTTTTCTTACTTCAAACGCGGAGTATTTTCATCTCGCATATTCTATTCCGACTCTCTGTTCATAATTATTCTCAACTACGGGCTGCTTGTGTACCTTGTACAATTTCAAACATTAAAATTCATGCCGTACTAAGTTCGTAGCACGCGTCTGGCGTACACGCACGGAGCAATTAAACACAGACGCGCGAAGCTATTTCCATTCAAGGAGAGAGTGCACGCACACGGGTCATAGGGAAAATTCTTCATAATGGATGTTATGTGTCATCTGGCTGTGTAAGCGGCGAGCTACCGTTCCGTTCTCTGGAGAATGCTTAAGGTCCCTTGTACCTACGCATAAGCGAGAACCATCGAGACTCGTTTGCTCGTTTGTTCGCAGTGCACCTCTCCCCGGGAGCAAAAATTTCGCGATAGCCTCCTGTATTCATACACGGACGACGACATCGTAGAATAAGCGCGCCGAATAAATTTATCCTGGTTCGAAATCAAATTTTTCCGAGGCAGCGAGGAAAGTGTTATCGTAAACTGATAGATAAGTTATGATAATCATCTTAATCTTGAGTTTTACAAAATAAATAGTGTTTCTTCATACGATGTGTATATGTTAAGATCAGAAAAGAGCGATTGATTAAGAAATGACGGGAAGGAAAGTGGCGGTACTGGAAACGAAATTCTCGGGACATTTTAATCCTGGTCTGTCGGGTACTAATCACGACGCGGATAGAAGAGGAAGAGGGAAGAACGAACGGTCCGGATGGGCGCAGGCACCGCGCAATTAGCGCCCGTAATTATAATCCAAGAGTCGATTGGCTAGTGGGACAGGCCAGTATCATGCTAGACCGATCAGTCGACGAAGCCCCCCAATTTTAATTGCTAATTGCTGCCGTCCCACGGTCTCCTCTCCCCGGCCGTGCGCGGCGTGTCGTCGTGGCCGATAGACGACGACGTGATACGAGGCTCGGGTGCAACTATGTGCCGTGCAACGATTGCAAATCGCACGCGTTCCTGATGCCCGCCACGTTCTCCGTTCCACACCCTCGTCGCGATCCCCACTCGACTTCCACCCCCTTTTATACGCCGATAACTAATCGCAATTTATGGCCCGCCAGGATCTAATTAGTTGGAATCGATTCTTTGACGCCCGCCACATCATTAATAACTTAATTTCCATTATAGAGCAATTTCCTTTTAAGCGATATATGAAAGCATACACCATGTGATTTTCTAGTGCTCACGTTTTTGAAATATAAGATAATATTTGATATATGAAATAATAATGAACATATAATAATTCTGGTGAACCGCGAAACCGTTAAGCGATCATGAAACGCGAAGTCCTGCGAGGTTCAATTAAAGAGACGCAGGTAAAAGCGATTTCTTTGAATCGTTGTAGGAGGTCGTCGTATCGGGAGATTGAATGACCGCTGTAATGAAAGGGAATCTCTCGATTCGTCCGCGTTATCTTTCGATGAACCCACCCCCGCGGCTTATTCGATGGTCGCGTACCGTCGCGAATGGAAACAGCACGGCTGGACGGCTTTATGGAATTCTAATAAACGTTCGACCGCGCGATGGCCATCTCGGGAAAACGAGATTCCCGTTGCGTCCCGCTGAATTCGAGCTACCGTGAACGCGTGTTACGAATACATACGACTCTCTCTCTCTCTCTCTCTTTCGCGTGGTTTTCCTCGCTACCTCGTCAGCCAATATTCTGTGCCGGAGATGATAAAGCTCGCGCCTCGCCATGAAATATCGGCGATAGGAAAATATATTTATAACTGAAACTCACGTCATTCTGGGCGAAGGTCGGCGTAATTGGCCCGTCGCTGGCTTCCCATTTGTCGGCGATCCGGATCGTCTCCGCCGTTTTCTGCTGCACCGATTTTGACTCGTCGAGCAACGTCAGCTCGTAAAACTCTTGAATATCTGAAACACACCACGAAAGAGACTACATTAATATTCGAACGCCATTGACAGCGCGATTGTCGTTTCTTTCTTCATAGATGTATCATCTCTTTATTTTAATCAACTTAACCGGAATAGACATGAGCGATTCCTTGCCGTGCGATATCACATGTTTGTCTCCGCCAATTCAATTGTGAAAACAAAGAAAAACATATAACCTTAGCACGACAAAAATCAATCACTTCCCAGATAGGTTTATAATCGGGTCAAAGATTCATTTGTCTCGAGACAAAAAGAATTATACGGAAAACACAGATGTAGTTCTTATTATCTTAGAATAAAATATTATACCTTTTATCAAAAGGTTATATGTATAAGAAATTTTGAATTAAACCAATCTTCCCTAGTACTTCTATTACATACTCATTCGCTTGCTAATGCAATATTTATGAAAGTCAGGTAATCAAAATTTTTATGTGACAAACCTTTTTAACCGAGCTAAGCTCGAATATAGGATGATGCTCTTGTGATGCACTCACATAATTTTCGGTATTGCATCGATAGCCTTTTCCCTACGACACAGGTGAATCCACCTGGTCGTTTGAAGACGACACCGGAAATATAATACCGACATCAACGAGTCAACGCGGGTCCTTTGCTGTGGGAACGCGATCATGTTTCCTCGGTATAACGTTTAACTAACGCAGTTTCTCATGCAAGGTATCGACGGACAAGGCATAGATCGAATGACGATAATTTTATTGGTTAATTTATCGTAGGGAAGCTATGGAGGAAAGTCAAATGGTTAACCTGGCAAATTGAAAACGATGTTCGAACGTTCCGATGGGAACAAATAAGGAACTGTAATTTAGTTTCGTTAACCCTAGCCACACCACCGGTGCGGCGTATGTATCGTTGGTTGAAAATTATTCTATGGATGGCGGTGTTTATTTAGGTCGTATTAGCCGTACATCGTCGGCGTGGTTAAACTTAATTATGGTTAGTTCAGTATTATATCTGGTAATATTGGTATATAACTTAATGACATAACTCCGGAATTAACTCTGGAAATTACTCACGAGAGACCAACTAACAAGTGACACTCCTGAGGGCGATACTTCAAACTACTTGGCTGAGTGTCGATTTATTAATCCTTTGAGTCGCGCCCATGCGAATCCGAACGACGTTAGAGACTTCATCTCTACAACCATAGTTTTGTTTAATTTTTTAAAACGACGTCTCACGGCCGTTGACGTGTATTTTCCGTAGTAATAAACGCTAGAGAGCGTCCAGAAAATTTCTTTGACACTTTACGGGGGAAAGATTTACCGGGAAGAATTCTCGAAAGCGTGGAACGAAAAATTTATGAAACAGCCGGAAGGGGTTTTCCCAAGATTTCCCTTAACGGACGAAAAAATTCGCATAACGCGGCGCGCGTCGGCGTTAAAACGTCAAAGGTGGGCCGCTTATATCCCTCACGAAAATTTCTACAACTTTAATTAACGTACCAACATTTTTTTTTTCGCTGCGAGCAGTGGCAACCGCGCGCACCTCTTCGAAACCGCTCGCGCAACGGCGACGCGACGGTCCTCTAATTTTTCGTTTTAATTCACATTTAATGGCATCTTGTGCGGTCTCTCTTCAGCCCCGTCGTCGGTGGGAGCATGTCGTTGGAACTATTTATGCAACCAACGGGAAGCTTCTTGCGCACAGCCCTCGCGGGAGTCCCAGCTATGTACACAGTACAGTACTCGAGGAAGCACGTTTCGAAGTCGTACTCGAGGGATTTTTTTTTCCACCCCCTGACAGGGTAGGAGAGAGCGCAAGATGTCATTGAACGTGATCTCAGGTGAATACCCGGCCGTTCGTTCTTCCGCTTTTCATATACATTCCTCCTTCGCATATCATCGAGGTGATCTTCGTCGCTCGTGAAGAATTTTCCCTCGTTTTTCCTAACGCATCGTCAGAGATAATCAACATTCAGCCGTGTCATTGTCCGGGCCTGAATTGAATCACGGCGGAGTCAGAAGCAAACGAGTTTCGTGTGAACTGTCTATCTGGAAACACAATTTTCGGTGCCGGCATAAAGCGTTATTTTTATTTGACGCATTCATCTGGCTTGCACCGGTCTGCAAAATATTACATTTTTTTTTCGTCTTTTCAAAGAGAGACCTAAACTACGATTTCATTTCACGTTGCACCACGTTAATGTTATTACGTTATACGATTCTGAACGGGGCATACCTAGATTCCATCAGCGTACAAACATGCATCAATCCGGTCCTGCACGCGCACTTTTTTCATATTCGCGGCACGTCCGCGAACACATCAATGTCTAAGCATTTTTCATGCAGCATGCAGGAGAAATATCGAAAACTTATTTCAATCCCATCCTCTTCCTCCCCTTTCAAACGCTGTGTAGGGCGCATTTAGGATTCCTTTTAGCAATACACAAATCAATACATGCGATTTTATAAATGATTACTAAATTCCATAAAAGTAACGAGCAGATACTAATTACGTACTAGATTAAATCGATGTAATTTGAAAAACTGTGAACTCACATGTACCGATTTCGTTACGGATGCGGACGATATGGATAATGAAAATCAATGCGCGTACTACTATAAGCGAAAATTCGGTGTGTTGAGTATTTAAATACGTATTTACATCGAGATAATCAAGTATTTTGACGGCGCGAGGCCACATAATTGTGCTGAACGCGGCCAATATGAATATTGAATATTCATTGCATCATTTGATGGAAATGCGCGGTGCTGTAACGCCATGCTCCAGTATTTTCTTGTCGACTGTCGCTTTCACGAACTGACAAATCAATTACAAAATCGTGTAGCCATTAAATTTATTTTGAAATAAACTCAGTGATTCCGGCAACTGTGAAAATAAACGCAATACAAAAGCAATAAAAAACGTGCGCTGTTTCGGATTTCTAGATAATTTTCTCAGACTTTTTCCCTGGAATTTTCATTCCCGACGATTTATTCCATTGCACGCGCACTCCCTTTTTCACCAACAGCAGTTGCCAGCCGCAAAGTACGCGCAATGAAAAAAGTTACGGCTTATTCGCGAACGGGAATATTCTAGTTCGAGAGCTGCTATAATTTTTTCTATTTTTTGCATCGTACTGTTTCTAAACCTACGTATAACTATGCAGCAAATTCTGAAATTTATCTATGAAAGAGAATGTTGCAAACGTGAATTCTGTGAGTTTATTTAATTCAGACATTCGCTCATCACTCATGAAATAATTCAGCACGATACGCTTCAAAATATTCTGAAACTTTTCTGTACTCAAGTATTTCAACACCATCACGTTCATTGTACTCTGTATCTTTTCTCTGGACGTGAACAATACAAGGGGGTGACAAACAATTAGACGTATCCCACCTCCGCTTCAGAGTCTTAATCTTTAAACAAAATTCCTTTCGGGCATTTAAGACCCAACCATTCTTTAGCCCTTTCTCTGTTCAAGAAGTAAAATAGAAGACCATCGCAAGCTCGTTGTGCACGCTCGCTGGACTCTTTTGTCCATTGTTTTCCACCCTCTCGCAAACAGAGAGAAAGAAAGGAGGGCCATCGAATCCCCCGGACCAATGAGTCCGCTTAACCGTTTTTACGCACAGGAATAATTTTTAATTTGCTCGGCGCGCATGAAAAGGTCATAACCGGGCATACCGACGGGCCGCGTTATCGCGATTTCCCTCGTTCCGGCCTTTTTAAACGCCGCGTTTTTACGCCGGTGGACAAAGCCTCGCGGTGTGTGCAGAAGCCGAGCCGAGGGTTGAGACCCGCAACGGTGACTTCCACGTATTCCGCGCACACAAGGACAGCTGGTATCTCCTACGGACAGCCCCAACGGCTGCCGTTAACGAGCTCCACTTTATCGCCGTCGACGTCGTTCGCGTCTTCACGGGTGCGACTGTACACCCCGGCTCGATGCACGTCGTCCTGGGAATTACGTGTCGTTGTTTAAAGTTCTGACCTCTCCCCCGCCGGGGCATGGCCCAATGTGCCAAAGCGCCGATTACCAACCGCACCCGGATCATGATTCGAACAATACACTCACGTTCATAAATTTTAGAATGGACTGTCTAACGAGACGTAAGAATATACTAATGAAAATTGGTGGTATTATAACAAATATTGAAATAAAGATGACAGTATTACGTGAGAATCATTTGTATCCGAATAAAAATAGAATTTTACTGGAACACTCGTTATATTTCTGCTTGTCTTGATGTATAATTTATAAGATTTTTGATAGACGATATTTAGGAGTATATTAGATAAGGATATAAGTATTATAGATAAGACTTATGAACCTGGATGTATCAGAAGAATCCGTAAAACTTTGGACCGTCTTTGGCCGAACCTCACTTGAGAAAACACAAGAGTTGCTAAAAGAAACTTCGGCTTCAGTCGGAAGTACCTCATTATTTCCGACAATCGAGCGGTTCCTCTTGGTCGGGAAACAATGTTTTAACGAGATCGTCGAATTAAACACCAGCGATTCGCCTCTAATCGGTCGACCGAATCTTATTAATCCCCACAAACGAGGAAACTTCCTATCTATTTAGCAGGATTCTTCAACTCGTCGAGTAAATAACTTTCAAAGTTCCGATCGTAACAGAAAAGATAAACGGGGTAACACGGTTTATAATTTTCCAGAAATTAAATAATCGAATTCAGCTTGAGATCTTAAATCTGGCACGTAGAATTACGTGGTTGATTCTGCACGACGAACACCGTTTACGTGAAGTTCTTTGATTCGATCAGAAGTCGATTAACCATCGAAAGGTTTACCAATGATGAGGTTCGTTAACGATGGTCGCGTAGTACCTCGTTGTACCAGTCACATAATTATCCGTTCCAAGCCCCGAGGCCAGGCGACGATTTTAGTTCGCGGCGTCTCATTCTTGGGGCGAAGTTTATCCGTGAAGTTTAGCAGCTTGCAAGTTTAAGTTCGGAACTCGCCTGGCCGGGGTGCCGCGTGAAAATTA